GCAGGATTTATATCATCAACAGTATGTTTTTCAACACTAAAAGAGGAACCTGCTTCGCCGACTCATGGCAGGTCAGTGCAGACGGCATCGTGTCGGTCAGCGAGACAACGGACGAGGCCTTCAGAGAGCTAATTTAGGTTTTGGTGGTATTTGCGTCGATCTACCTGATGCTGGAGACATTTCGAGTTAGTGGTTTAGGGTTTAGGGGTTTAGGATATCCCGCATACAAAAAGCCCCACCTTTTGTCTCCAATTAAAGTACTTATGACCGTCTTGCTTACTAGGCCCCAAGATCCTAACCCTAAACCCTAAACCCAAAGCCCATACCCTTGCTAAGTCCCCTAAACCCAAAACCCTGAACCCTAAACCCTAAACCCTAAACCCTAAACCCATGAGCCTCGAAGTATTGGTTAAGACCCAGAAATCAGTTTTTCGCAACTGCGGAGTCCCAGACCCCCGGGGGGATCTAGAAAGTAGATCCCCTAATTTTGGACCCTAACTACTAAAGGGTACTTTATAGGAATCCCCTTATTAAGGGATCTACTCCCAAAACCCTATAAACCCGTATAAATCTCTTCAACCCGTGTAGATCCCCTTATAGGAACCCTCTTAAGGGATCTACTTTGTGGATCCTCTCGGGGGTCTGGGTCGAGGAGAACCGAAGCTCTCAAGCCACGGTCAACAGTGAGTTCGTTTAGGGTTTAGGGTTTAGGGTTTAGGGTTTAGGGTTTAGGGTTTAGGGTTGGGGCCTGCGGGCCCAGGGAGCCTTGAAATATCGGAGATCGGAGGGTTTCGGGTTTAGGGTATAGGCAGAATATAGGGGCCTTGGCAATTAGACTAGGGTTTTTTGGGGGGTTCCTTTAAAAGGGTTCCTTTCAAGGGTTCTATAATGGCTACTATAAGGGTTTAGGGTTTAGGCGCCTTAACAATTAGCCTAGGGTTTTGGGGGTTCCTTTAAAAGGGTTCCTTTCAAGTGTTCTATAATGGCTACTATAAGGGTTTAGGGTTTAAGGGCCTTGACAATTAGACTAGGGTTTCTGGGGGGTTCCTTTAAAAGGGTTCCTTTCAAGGCTTCTATAATGGCTACTATAAGGGTTTAGGGTTTAGGGGCCTTAACAATTAGACTAGGGTTTTTGGGGGTTCCTTTAAAAGGGTTCCTTTCAAGGGTGCTATAATGGCTACTATAAGGGTTTAGGCGCCTTAACATTTAGACTGGGGTTTTGGGGGGTTCCTTGCTATCAGTTATGGTAGAATAGACCCCAAAACCTATTAGAATTCTTAAGGCCCCCAAAGTTAGGCAGTAGATTGTTAATACCTCAAACCCTATTAGAACCCTAAACCCTAAACCCTAAACCCTAAACCCTAAACCCCGTAGAACTCTTCAGGCCCCAAGATTTAGGCAGGGCTCGCTACAGGAAGATCAGGGCCTAGGGTTTAGGGTTTAGGGTTTAGGGTTTAGGGTTTAGGGTTTAGGGTTTAGGGTTTAGGGTTCGAGCTGTGGGTCTTGGAATGGGTCGGATGAGCCTAGTATAGAAGGCGAAATACTTACCTATACTATGTTGAGGGCTCCTTATTATAATAGTACTACCAAGGGGCCCAAAACCCTAAACCCTAAGCCCTAAACCCTAAACCCTAAACCGTCAGCGTTTGCGTTTAAGTTGTAGGCAGTCTTCCGCTGAATGTAGAGGTTGTTAGTAGGCGGACTCCCCTCCAGTCCCTTTCCTTTGGATTCAAGAAATGATGCGCTGCGCCCCCCCCCCCCCACGCCTCCTGCACACGATATTTGAGCCACCTGAACAAAACCCCAGTCTTATACACAAAGTAAAAATGCGTATGGAAGCCTGAATAATTTCAGTATTTGTTTAATCGTATTTGTTGTGTTGTAGGGCCCCTGTTCTCTTGCAAAGATCCCTCCAAAACCTTCGTCGCAGGAGCTCACAGAAGCAGAGGAAGAGACGCCTTCCCCTGTCACCCCTTGCGCCTCTTGGCGAAGAAAGGGGGGGCCTCAAACAACACAGAAGTAGGGCTTTGGGGCTTACCATGAATATAATATCATAAACCCGGCAGGTATCATGGTAACAGTAGTGGTATAAGTAGAACAAGGAACCCTAAAGAATGGCCTAAACCCCAAAAATAGTTTTAAAAACTACTTAGGCTTTTTGTTCAAGGACGGAAGGCCTTGATTCAGTCTCCACACATGCGGTTGTTCAGGGCCAAATGTGGAGGTCTGGTGTGATACCCCCTTTGGGGCTCTGTGTAGGGGCGGGAATATTGGGTTCCTTTAAAGGGGTTCTGGAAGGGTTCTTAAGGGTTCAGGGCCTTGGGGCCACTTTATAGTCCCCTTAGTTTAACGAAACGATCATGCACCACCTGAACTCTAAACTCCAAACCCCAAACCCTATAAACTTTAAACCCTAAGCCCTAAACCCTGAACCCTAAACCGTCTGTGTAAGGGGTGCGGGGCTTTAGGGTCCTTCCCTGAGACTCCGAAGCACTGGGCGACCTGGAGCATCCTCTCTGGGCTTGAAATCACAGCTCCTAGTTACTAGTTGCGGCTTAAGTAGTTGATTACTTGTACTATTTTGGGGGGTTCCTTATTATATGTAATTATGCTATAGAGGAGCCCCAAACCCTGTTCAAATTATTATAAGGCCCCTACATGATCTATCTACTCGAGATGAAATAGTGAGGCAGCACGCAAGGCACCGGCAAAGAGAGTTTGGAAGCCTTCCGAGCAAACACGGGGTCCTATTGCGAGCAGCTCTTACATCTACATGTTGGGTTCCTAGACTCTTGGCATTTCTGAGTAGACCCTGCGAGGCAGAGGAACTGTGGAATAACCGGGTTTAGGGTTCAGGGTTTAGGGTTTAGGGTTTAGGGTTTAGGGTTTAGGGTTAAGAATCCCCCCACCCCGGGCCCACGTGCACAGGGGACCCTACAAAGACAGAGAGAGGTTCAAGATCGTAAAAAGACCCCAATCCCAGAGGGTCCAAATATACTACCTTTATGAAACTAGGCCCTCAAGAGCATCCCAATGGTAGTATATGCGCAGTTCTCTAAATTAGGGTCCCTGCTTTAGGTCCCCAATATAGCACGGCACTCTTATAATAAAAAGAACCATAAAAGGCATCCTCATATAGAGAACTACCCACATATGGACGCTCTGGAATGCCCCACATGAGGAGATTCCAAACCCAAAACCCCTAAACCCTAAGCCCTAAACCCAAAACCCTGAACGCTGAAACCCCAAAACCCTTAAACCCTGAAGCTCTAAAACCCTAAGCCTTAACCTAAAGCCCTAAACCTTAAACCCTAAACCCAATGCCGCCCAAATGGGACAATAGGAGGGGCCCCTAGAAGGGACCCCTAATCCTAATACCCTATATAACCCTTACATACTCCTTACAAAGTCTCATCAAGCCCCTATATAACCCCAAGGGTCCCCTAAACCCTAAACC